TATTTAAACAGCTATAGTATCCAAATCACAAAGTATGGCGTTAGACTATATGTTTTACTAAAGGTTGATAAAATCATGATCATAAGTAGCGTTAGCGCGACACGGGGCGCGATATAAAGCGCGAGATGCTTCTATTCTTGCATAGAGACACAACTTTTTAGACGTTCTATTGCTCGATACTTGTTTTTTTTAGAATATCAAGTAACGAGACAAACAAGTTGTGTGTCGGGTAAGCGACATGTCTATCCATGACAGATGCAGTGCTTTAAATCGTAAACAGTTGAGTGACACTACCACTGCGCCCACTACTCGGGGACATAAGTTGACAAGTTATATGTGCCACAATATAATACGAACAAAAAATATTTTAAAATGAATGTCACCTCTACAGAAGATACTTAATCTCATCGTCTACGACACTCACACAATGGCAATGCGCTGGCGCAGCCTACACTTTGTTTTGGGACACTTAGCTTAGGACTTAGACCCTTTTATTGCTTCTTTCTTTTTCTTTTTGAAGTTCAATGTTTTTTTCTTAAGCGACTAAATGTCGAGTAGCAATCAATCTTTGAAAGAAATTGTTTATTATTTTAATTTTGTGAGCTTTTTTAAACTGAACAAGAACAAACGCGCCATTTATCATGATCAATTGAAATTACTTCACTTATAACCAGACATGGGAAATACATATAGAGTTAATAATAAAATCCGTCTAAGATCCGATATTATTATAATGCATATAATGCATTAATGTTTTTACAAATATAAATATTAGACAACGACACATACGTTGCTCTGATCTCGAAGTAAACAACTAAAGCACTTGTGTTATGGAAATAGGAAACAACGACATATAGAAAATTTAGTTTCTACATTGCCCCGGCCGGGAATCAAACCCGAGACCTCAGAGTAAGCGACATTATGAAAACCGGTGTGCAAATAACTCGACCGTGTCACCAAACTTTAGAGTACTTAGAAAAAAAAGTGTTTTATATTTAATCATTCCTGGATTTGCGAGAGAGGTATTATAAACTCTGTGTTAATTTTAAGTTTAGGTTAGCTTTCTCTGTCCATACTGTCAATCATTATCAATTCTTACTACACATATACGTTTTGTTTATTTAACCAACTAAATACGTGGACGAACGGTTACCATGTCGAACTGCCACCCAGAGGTCCTAGGTTCGATTCTCTGGCCGGGAGAAACATTTGTATGGGCTACATTTAATTCTCTCGTGAATTTGGGTGCAATATGTGGTTGTCTATGTGTGTGTACATGGCACCCGCGACACAGGGTTTACCTAGTGCGGGGCTATGTTAAGTGTGTGCGTTATTATTATTATTTAACCGTGTAATACACGTATATACATTAATATTTATTTTTATTTAGTAGCGGTAGAGCTCATTGTGAAAGAGTTCGTCTAGGTGAGTACTGACACCTTACCTATTTCTGCCGCCAAGCAGTAATGTGGGCATTACTTTGTTCTGATTTTGAAGGGTAAGTATGCTGGTGAGGTTACAGGCACATAGGACTTATTATGTTTCAGGGTAACTGGCACTGGCAGTGCCCCTAAGATCTTTCCGAATTAAAGCTCACAGTGGCAACTGAATAGGGGTGCTTCTCCCGTCACATGCATTCATAAATAAATTACCAAAATGGTTAAAATGGTAAAATAATGCCTGTATACACATTTACACAAATCAAAATGTGAAAGAAAATACGTGTAGTTTTTAATAAGTACATGTACAGAAATTTTGATAAGTACATGTACATAAATTTTGATAATTTCGATGTCTGGTGACAGAATACTTATTTTTAGATATGTAAAGATAAGTTATGTGTCACCAGTTTTTTTTATCGATTTTGAAAAGAAGAATCACGGTTTGATACAACTCAGTCACACGTTTATACACTAGGCCTTTTTTAACTTGCAAAGGGTTTACGAAATCTTTCCTGTAACACATAGCCCTTAAAATCCCGTCTGCCAATAAAAAGTTAAAAATAAAGCTGACCCACAGAGCCAGTGAATAGTTTCAAAGCTCTGTTAAGGCACCTGTTCGATATGACCTTGTGTTCCCTTTTATCTTTTTTTTAGTGGGCCCAATCTCTATGCGTCTATAGAGTTTTGTAGAGATATTTTTATGGGAATAGGTTAGATAGAAAAGAAAGGTAACTTTCGATGTTGTAAATGACATGTTTAATAAATTTTAATATCTTGGTTTGTTTTTAGTTATTAAGTAAAGTAGTCTTAAGTTTATATAATATTATGATGTTTTACTATTGATATTCAATTAATTTTCTGTCAAATTACTCCATTATTTTCTTATAATTATTAATTTGTTAAACAGATTAAACTCTATGAAAAATTATTTCGATCAGCATACAGTGTCTGACGCTGTTCCAGCTGAACTACGGAACTAACAATTTACAATTTTTCTGCGTGCTTGTTGCAGATCTTTGTTTTTTTGACAATTTTTTACCGTAGCGCCATCTGTTAGAAATCTATGAAAGTAGTAATTGTTATTCAGCTTGTGAAATATTGTATCGGACGCAAATATAAAAACTATAATAATTGATATTGTAACCTTTTTTCTGTAATTTCAAGGCGATGACATTTTGTTACAAATTGTCCACGATAAAATGGACAAACGTATGTTGTAATAACAATAATGTAGTGAACAACCGCACCAAATTATATATATACAATTTATATAAATTTTAGAGCTCCTTGTGAAACAGTTCGTCCAGGAAAGTACTGCCACCTTACCTATTTCTGCCGCCAAGCATTAATGTAAGCTTTACTGCGTTCCGGTTTAGAGGGATAAGGGTGCTGGTGAAATTGCAGGCACATGGGACTTGTCAACTTACGTCTCGGGATAACGGGTGCAGTGGCATTTCCTCTAAGATCATTGCGATTTGAAGCTCTGAGTGGCACTGCAACTGTTATGGATAGGCGTGTCCCTTACCACCAGGCGTACGACTTGCTCGTTCCATCACGTGGTATTATAAAAACAAAACATAGCCTTAAACTATGAACATGAACTCTCCTGTACTAGGAGTACCAGAGCAATGGAATTATCCCAGAACACCCAGAGCGATTTAGGAAAGTTAGTTTCTCAAATTAGTTCTTCAGAGAATCAAACCCCGAGACCTTTTCATCTGGCGAGTAAAATGTTAACCGCAGAGTTAAAAAGAACATGGTCGTCATCGAGATTTGACTAAAATATGTTATTTACCTTACCTTATTAGAAACAAGAAACTGTTTCCATAGTAATTTAAAATTTAACAACATATTGTGCATTATCATTCGTGTTAAGTTTGAATAAAATAATCATAAATTAGTTTGTTATATTGCGTAACAACGAATTACTCTATTTTCTTATCTAATTCTGTAAACTGTAATTTATAACATTTTATAGTTCTTAATTTTGGCAACAGACAAAGTTTACAATGTCACAGAAAAAAATAGCTCGGAGATTTCTGTGATGCATTTCACTTCTATATCTAGTGTTCTAATTTTGTGATCTAGATTGTCTAGGTCGTTGAAGGCTTGTCTGAAAAATATTTTTTTTATAATATCAAGTGATGGCACGGACAAGTCGTGCGCCTGATGGTAAGCGACACGCCTGTCCATAACAGTTGCAGTGCCACTCAGAGCTTTAACTCGCAAAGCCCTGACGGGCACTGCCTCTGCGCCCAACACCCTACGACATAAGTTAAAAAGTCCCATGTGCCTGTAATTTCACCATTAATATAATAATAGCGCACACACTCCTAACGCCACACTATGGAAACCCTATATACACACATAGATAACTACAAATTACACCCAGAGAAATAAATATAGTTCATACAAATATTTCTCCCGGACCGGGAATCAAACCCGGAACTTTTGCGTGGCAGTCCAGAATGGTAACCGTTCAACCACGGAAGCAGAATCGCGTATATTTGCTTTTTTAGCGAACCAATGTTTTTTGCTTTTTACGGGTGCCATGATCACGGTCATACAACTAACAATATTATATGTATTTGAAAAAATACTTTTAATGTCAGTTTTAAACTTAGAAAATGATAATCTCCGGAATCTTATTGTAAAAACGTATACAGTTCCCCATAAAAGAATCGTTTATCTTAGTTAAACGATATCGTGGTACCGTGGACTAGGCTGTATGAGTAGAAATACTGGCTGAATGAATATAGGCTTGTGTTTGGAATTGTGTTAAAAAATAAGATGTAAAAAAGAAGAACATCTTGGTTGTTCTAGAAAAAGTTTCCATCAGTTATGACGTAAATATCTATTCATGAAAATAGCCCAGTTTTATATTTTAAAAGTGCCTCCACGCTCAAACCTAAACTACGCGCCCCTTTATATACCATGAGTGTGGACTTATGTAGTTCTAAGGTTAATATTATGGATATCTTCTTCCTTAATGAAATTATCTATATTTTTTTACTGTAGTCAGTACGCGAGACCACGATACGCTCGACACGAACTAAAAAAAGAAATAAAAATATCTGCTCGTACGATCATAATACTACTAAAGAAATCGAAAAATCAACATCGAATGCAGCAAAAATAAATATTTCCAAAAAAAACATTCAATGTCCGAAATACCGAAACCGGCGCAAGCGCAACGGCCGAGACCCAAGCTTCTGTTACAGCGCAAACTAAATACGATCCTTTACAAGAAATTAGTCAGCGTTCCCGAAAAGCGCGGGCAACGACCCCTCCGGCTACACCTAAATATTTTAGTCCCAAAAAAAAATCGCCTGTTTACATAACACGCAGAATTTTTTAAATAAGCACGTCAAAGGGATAGAACGCACACTAACAAAATTTTCGTGAGTGTCTCTTGTGTGCGTGGAGCACACACAGACACGCCGTAAAAATGGCCAGTCGGTACATCGCACCACTACAATGAAAGGACGACGTAAGTCGCATACAAGTGCATAATTCGGCCGAGATGCAAAAAAAAATATTTGGCAACGCGGCCCCTACGCGCCCGCCAGTCGCCCGCCCGCCTGGGTTAGGTTAGGTTAGATTTTTTGGCTCCAAAACGCTCGTTGGTAATTTTTTGAATTGCATGTACATTTTTGTCTACATCACTAGGAAAAGACGTCCTGCCTGAGAGTTTACTGGCGCGTCAGTACGTCGCAATTTTTTGTATATACAACTCGGAACACGCGCTGCTACTCCAGTTGGATTCTAATATGAATTTTAATTTAATTTTAGTTTTATTAAATTTTTATTTCATTTGTTCTAAACCAACGAGTGTGTAGTTAAAAAATTAATGACGGTCGGGCACGGTGAATATATTTTTATTTTCAAATTTAAATTTTTCCAGATGATGGCTTTATTAGTTATAAATTAAATCAAGATTTATTTTCTCTTCCCCCCAAAAGACTGTAGTGCCGTGTGTCGTGTAGTGTTGTATTTTCAAATTATTTTATATTTTCGTTGGACTTTCCTGTGTTATCCTGTTTTTGTTTTTTGTTTGGTAAGTAGATACATTTTATTTTTGTTCATTAAATGTCTCCTTTGTTTCCTCGTGTCCATATCATAATTAACTATGTTTTTTAAATGAAACTTCCTAAGTAAACAATTATTTATTAGGAATAAGCTATTTTTGTCATCGTCACAGAATGAAAAACAAATCACTTTTTAAGAACACAGCTAATGTACTCTTCTCACTTTGTTATCTGGATTTTTAATAAACAAAACAAGCAAAAAAAATGTCTAGACTTTTAGTATTGGTTTCTTTCTAGTCCTAGACACAAGGACACGTCGTCCTGTGACGTCAGCGTCCCTAGGCACTGGCGAGAAAGTCGGCCATCTTGATTCTGTGTTCTTTTTTTGAACCCTACAAAGTGCGTGTGCGCAACTCCGCCATGTTGGATTGCAATTCGAATTTCGAATCATTTCAAAAACGGTACATTGGAAATCGAATTTAGATTATCGAACGTCACTTTGTTTTTTTTGGTTAATTTAGTTTTTAATGTCCATTACAAACTAAGTTGTTGTTATTATAATAAGCTATTGCGAGTTTTTCAGCCATTTGAAAACGATATTTTAATGTTGATTCAAGTAACATTTAGTTTACGAATTAATAGTTAATAGAAAATTGTACAGTCTCCTTTGGTACAAAATTCATTTCAATAAATATTTTTTTGAGTCAACTTTGTACACAAATATACAAAATAACCAAAGAACAATGAAACTGAATAAACACTATGTCACAAATGCAATAAAGACATCGCATTCTAAATTACAAAGTACAGAATTCAAAAAGTAACATTTTTGAGAAACTGATAAAACAAAGAAAAATAAAGCACAAAATAAAACTAATATGTCTTTTTCTATATCAAATAGACTTCTTTCATATTTACCACCAGACAAATGGCTTACGTTGTGTGGCACGTAATGTAATTTAAATATATTTGTTTTGCCAAGCTTCTCTAAAAATTTTTTTCTTATTTGGTCACATTATTATTGAATACAAAAATGATGGGAAAGATGTTTTGAATTTTATGTTTTTTGCTCTGGGTTTAAAAAAAAGTATTTATATTGAAATCAAAGCCTCTATGTCAACACTGCCTTTGTCTATTCTCTAGAAATGTTTTCCGTTCCGTCGTAAAAACAGGATGTTGTTCTTTCTTTTCTAAGAATTTTTCATTACATTAGTGCAACCTTTTGGCGTTGTAAAAAAATAAACAATTATTATTATATAAAATTTATCTCAAAATAATTGTAAATAAGCTTTGTGCGGCTATAGTAGTCTTAATGTGGTGTTTCGGCGTTATTCAGCCTTTACAGAATTAATTCTTTACAAAGAACATCTAATCTTGAATAAAGAATAGAGGTGTTAGTTTGAAAACTCATTTGCAGTCCATTCTCATGCGCGCATTTAAAGGTACTTTAAAATGACAACAAAGTTTATTTCAACCACTGGCCACATAATACCAGTGAGTATAATTTGGAAAGGGGGACTGTTACCCCGAGGGTCCAATTTTATTCATATAATTTAACCCTAGTTTTAATTTCTAGTATTGAAGCTTTTATTGTTCTTTACCTGTAACTAATTGTCCAATAAATTCTTTAGTGTCAATTTGAAAAAAGAATAACTTTAACTATCTTTTGAGATCTATTCGATTCATTGTTGTCATCATAATACAACATATATATATTTTATTATGGTTAGTTTCGTCCAGTAATGGGAAGAACAAGTCCGCCTGTTGGTAAGCGACACGCCTATCCAGAACAGTTGTAGTGCTACTCATTGCTTTAAATCAAAAAGATCTGAAGGGCACTGCCACGGCGCCTGTCACTCTGTAACATAAATTGACCACTCCCATGTGCCTGTAATTTCACCACTTTCATCATATTGTAGCGTTTACCGCTACATTGTGAATCACTTCGTCCAGGGAAGTACTGTCACGTTTCCTATGTTTGCCGCCAAGCAGTAATGTAAGCATTATTGCGTTTCGGTTTTGAAGGGTCATGCTGCTGGTGAAATTACGTTCATATTTGTGAACTTAAGTCTCAGGGTGATGGATAGAAAAAAACCTTTTTTGGCGTTCCTTTAAATGTGTCCATGAATATAGAAATCAGCCTTTTAAGTGTTGACTGTACTCTAGGAAACGTGACAAATTCTTAGGGCTTAAAATACTTCAACGTTTAGTTGATATCTACAAACCCCGTGGGAATGTAATCTTGTTACCATAAAATTGCTGAGCACGCGTTTTGGTCTCTGCATCTTCTTAAGCAATATGAATTCGAAATAATGTTTGGCGAATCATGGTAGTTCAGTTACAGAGGAGAGGTCCTATGAGGAGATATGACATTAATTTCTAGAAACTTCTTCTGAACTTCTTCTTGGGAATTGAGCGTGCCAACAGCTCCGGTACCTATCTGGATAATAGGGAGGACGCTGTACGTGCACCCGGTGCAGCTCACCCAAGGCACAAGCCTTTTCAGAACCGGATGAAGTCCGTGTAAACGGGCTGATCTGGGTTCAGGACCTGACTGAGAAGGTCTCTGTGCGGGCTTGCTTACTCAAGTCATAGCGCCCTTCCCGTATAACGAAGAGGTTGATATGGAGGGTTATTACAAACGAATGTAGAAAGATATCGGAATGATCTTCTTCTGAAATGGGTCTAGATTCTACACTAATTTGACTCAGAGTATATTCCATAGCATTTTAGAGTCGGTACTACCTCGGCTCGAATTAAACGTTTTCCCGTACTAATAAGGTTTATTTTGCTTGGGTCGAGCGGTAGGGACACTGGCTTCATTTAAGAATTATTTTTTTACAAGTGAAATTAAAACCATTTGAAAAATGTATATACTATACGTGTTCTATTTATATAAGTTGATATTAAAAAAAACATTGGTATAAGTACCTATTTCATACAGCGGTTTTCTTGTAAAATTTCGAGGTGTGTTTGTGTTTTTATTTCTGCCGTGAAAATTTTGAAGTCTCGTGTTTTCATACCGTATAGTAATTAGTGCATATCCTCAATTTTACTATATTTGTCTTTCAAAGTGATTGATTCAACAGTTTCAATGTTTTGCGGAATCAACCAAAGCCATGTCAGGTTGTTTAGACTCATAAAGTAATTTGAAAAGAGTATCTATCCCTACGAAAAAGAGTAGAAACCCCTAGAGTTTCTTGAACGTTCTTCTCAGGGAAGTCAGCACAGTGAATGAGCTTAAAAAATACGTTTTCAAGTGTAAATTTATATTAGCTATGGAGTAAATGATTTTTTAACTTTGATTTGTTTCTAATACCTCTAGCGAAGGTCCACAACAGTCGGAAAACGTGTTATATCACCAATTACGCTTATAGCTTGAATCCTATTTAAAGGAAGCCCATGCCCAGCAGTGGGCCGTACAATGTGTTAAAGATACAATAGTTTTGCTTTTTTTCAGAGCGTTTTGTACTATAGGTAATGTCTTTCCAACCACGCGAAATTATGTACAAATTGAAAACAAGGGACGAGGGCTAAGACGAGACAACGGTCAAACAAAGTTACTGCAATGCAAGTAGTCGTATTGCTTTCCCTGTCTCTTTTTAAGTGAGTGACAGAGATAAGAGATCTTTGCGTGTGGCATATAGAGTTACAATTCAATGGCGGCGTGTATACTACTTATAATTGCTTGTGAATAACATTTTAATATGTTTAATGGAAGAATAAAACAATATATAAAAGAAAAATAATTTTGGTAGCAGAAGGGCTCCTTGTGGAAAGATTTCGTCCCGGGAAGGGGTAGGGGTGTTGGTGAAATTACAGGCACATGGGACTTGTCAACTTATGCCTAGGGTGACAGCCGCAGTGGCAGTGCCCTTCTACTAAATGCTTTTCTGTTGGTGATTGATCAATGGCAAGAATACTAACTGACGACTACGAGATAGTCGTTGTTATTAAGTAACTTCTCATTATATCATTACAGCCTAAATTGGTCAATTTGACTGCATCTCTAATTGTTGAGACTGCTATGTTCCGGTTTTGAAGGGTAAGGGTGCTGGTAAAATTACAGGCATATAGGACTTTTCAACTTATGTCTAAGGGTGATGGGCGTAGAGGCAATGCACCTCAGATCTTTGCGGTTTAAGGCTCTGAGTGGCACTGCAATTGTTATGAACAAGCGTGTCGCTTACCCACAACTTGTTCGTCTTGTTACTCGGTATTATAAAAAAAATAACAAAGAAGTTATATTCAATTACATTCCATTTTTAACTACTTCGAAAAAATAAATAGTTTTTTGAATTTTTCCTCATCATCATCAGGTAAGGTCTCGGTTAACGACTTCTCGCATTAACTGCAAACATGAAGTTTATTAGCTTATTGAAAGTTTCATTGCAATATCGGTGTAGAAAAACATCGTGATGTAACTTGTACGTCGAAGGAAGATCCTTGGAAAACGAGTTCAATCCAACCCCTGTTGGTCCAATATGGCGGACGATGGTCTAAACTTTCTCCTTTGAGAACACCCATGCCTAGTAGTTAGGTGTGTAAAGAGTTAATCCTGACTATATAATATAATACGAATCTTGTAGAAGGCGCTCGACATTTTCGTCCCATCACTTGATGTATGAAAAAAAAATATTTTTGTACTACACTGTGTATTTTTTTATATATATAATAGACGTATGATTGGCCACAATCTCACCTGATGTTAAGCGACGATGTGACCGACGACGGGACGTTTGCCTAAAAAATATATATTCACTCTAGCCTTGAATAGCCCCCAATTGCACTTTTCGGAAAACACAGATATTAGAGTATTCTATTCCTTTGCCGTACGCATCAGAAAGGAGGAAGCAAAGCGCTTAGTGCGAATAGGTGGTAAATCAACGACATAAGGAAGGAGTGTTCCGGACCTTCTAGACGAACGAAGGAGGAACGGTGAGGATGGAACTAAAATGAAAAGTACCTGCGCACACTCCTCGATATATCCGATAGAAAACCGACAAGCAGATGTCGATACACCACAGTA